GGGGGGGGGGGGGGGGGGGGGGGGATCGCTACAAGGCCGGAATTTGCCCTGAATCTACCGGCGCTGTTCGAAGTACGGAGCGACTCGACGATGCCGTCTGAGCCCGTCGAAAACATGTCACTCGCGCTAAGAGGGCCACCGGCGCCCGTCGATGGGCGTTGTTTTTGAGCCCCGGAAGAAACGACTCCGCCTCTTTTTCCGAACTCAGTGGGAGGGAGAGACACGCGCAACGCGGGTACCTGAAAGACAATCCAGAACACGCAAATCAACAGACACACAGCAGTACGTGATTGGAGATAAAAGTAACGCGACGAGAAAAACGGCACACTTTCAATTGACGTTCATTCGACATCAGGACGCCTCATCTAATCGTCTGTAGTGTAGAAGGATCATTGAGTGCAGCACAACAAATATATAAAAACTAATAACAAAGCTTTGGTTGAGCCATGAAAAGTTAGAACGACCAAGAGACTCAACGCTGCTTGCTGCATCTTGCTTGCCGCCCGCTCTCGTTCGAAAACAGTCATAGCAAATCTCAGTATAGTACACCGGCTACACAACCTAGCCTCCCCCTACACGACTCTGCTTGATGCACCACTGGCTGCTGAAATAGGTACAGTAGAGGTTCTCACACAACACGGGTACATCCTCCACACGTCAAATACCGATGGTACTTCGAAATAGGGAGGAGCCACGTTAACAAACATGGCGCTCTGCACCACCGCCATACAGTCGTACAATACACCCATCTTGTCCCAGACTTCGTGCGAACCATACAGTCCACGATCGGTTGCTTCAGCGACCTGAACTGCTTAGCTACATGCTAGAGCTAAAATTAGAAATAGTCTAAGGGACCGGCACTGCCAACGAGCTTGCGTTGGTGGGCGTTTTCGATAGCGACGAAAACAGCCATTGCCAGGGCGAGGGGCGCGAAACCTCAAACGCTTCCTTCCTTTCCGCAACAACCAATGAGAAATCGCGTGTGTTCGACAGGAAACCACCAACTACAAGTACATGTGCCTTCCGAACGAAAGGCACGCCAAACGCTCAAACCACGAATGCAAGCCGACAGCTAAACGGGTCATCTTCCACGTGAAACGCGACACACATCACGCGGGAAAAACTGGGTTGCCCTTGCACCGGGATTTGACAAAAACATGACACGGGGACTCAACCACCCGCCGCCGCGCCAGTTTGTGATGGCGTGCAGCAGCAGCATTCACAACTCGAGAGCGACCGTTCTCGCTACAAATAGCTAGTTGTGAAGGGAACGGGAAAGCTATTTCGACGCACGCACAGACGAACACGTGGAAAATAGAAGCAACCTTTTCATGACACCTAACCAGGACAAACGAACAAAGACAAATGACGCATATTACAAAGATGAAAACCAACTTACTACACCCATGACACCCGCACAAAAAAACGCAAGTGGCAAGCCGTAGGCTTTCCTCGATAACAAACCCCGACCGGGGGAAATACACGCCGCGCAAGTACGCCAACGGTACCCGGTGGTAACTACCGTCACATGAGGGTAAGGAGGTAAAGCACGCGAAGATATTAAGAGAACGAGACAACAATAGTCTCGACATAAAACGAAGCACGAAAAACACGCGCCACTTCAACAACGAACGCAGCAGGAGCACCTCCTCTCCCTTGCCTGCCTGTACGCGGTGGTTGTTTTTTCGTCCTTGTGGGCCTTAGGATTCGCGCGCAGCGGCGATGTGTTTGGCCTTCCACTTCGAGAACGAAAGACTCACATATCTCGCTGTAACCGTACACGGTCCAGTGGGCGCGAGGTTTCTAGCCTCGCCATACTGATACGGAGACACCAGCCCCCCCCCCCCCGCAAGTCAGCAAGATATGAAACAACGTCAGCGCTAGAGTCTGCCGTTTCAAGAATGGATGGAGGACGATCGATCGCCTCCCCTCTCTCATCGCTCTCATCGCCATTGCCACCATCTGGTTGCTGGCCCCATCCGCAATTTCGTGACAACCAACTTTTTTTGCAACTTCCCGGTTCCGACCCACAATCCTCTCCCTTCCTGCCCATCGACCAATCACAGGCCGCCCACTTCCCCCCCTCCCCCTCCGCCCGCCCGTCCGCACAATCGCTTACAGTACCCGTATCATACCATCGGCGTAGTTCCCGACCATCGCTACTACCAACATCGATCATCCAAAGTTTCCTCCCCTTCATCAGATCCGCAAAATGACACTGCTCCCCCCCCCAACTTCGAAATCCGTCTTCGCCATCACCCGATCTGCAGGTTGAGGCCGGGGATGCTTCCCAAGATCACCATGGAGACGCCAAGCACTACGTACGCGCCCAGCTTAAAGAACCAGAAAGACGGCCTGCCCAACCCCACCTGCAGCGCCATCATGGGCCACAAGTAAAACATGCCCAAGAACGCGCCGGCACAGATGGACAGGGTGTTCTTGTAGTACGTGTCGAACCCGTTGTGCAGCGTCCAGTCTGTTGGGTTGGGTGTGATTCGTGATTAGGTGCGAGGGACAGCGGGAGGAGGAGACGCAAGGCCAGACGGGGAGAATCCGCGTAAGCATGGTACACATACGTATTCTGCACTGTATGCATGCTGTATGCATGACGTGACAATGATACCCGCAACAGGACGCTGATTCACTTTTGCAAAGCCTGGCAGCATCGCCAAAAACAATCCTATTACTACCACTGAATTTTGTCATGTACCCAAAACAACGCAAAAAAATTGCAACACACAAACAACGCACACACCAAGCCTCAAATCAAGCTGTTGCCAATACTGCAGCAAGCATCGTATCCTGGAGGAGGAGACAACCGTGGCATTCGCGGGGCAACTATGCAGCATATGATGCAGATACTTGGAAGTACACACTGTATTTTGTACTCACAGACGGCTCCGGCGATGGCAAAGAACTGTGCGGCGAAGACGAGGGTGAGCGGCCAGGTCGGCACTCTAGCCACCCAGGCGTGGTCTGGGTTGCCACGGGTAAGCCTGGTCCAGGACACCTGATAATCACCGCCATCATCATCATCATCACCAAGACAGCAAGCATCATGCGTTATGCCGCATGCACAATGAGATCGGTGCACCAGGCATCAGACATCAGCATGACTGCGCCACAACGCAAGCAGCATCAGAATTCAGCACCGTCAACACGCAACACAGCCGCCCGCAGGGATGCCACTGTGACAACACACACAGAAGCCGACAACTATGCTACACAAGCGTCACATGCAATCAACGTTGATCGATAAAAGGCAAGGCTACAAACTGGCACACAGCCACCCGCATAGATGAAAACGGGCGATGTCCCACGAGTACGGTGGTTGATGGGTCGGTCACCTGAAGGAAGGCGTAGATCTGCACGTAGGTGGTCGAGAGCCAAGTCTGCTCGTCACGCGTAAGGCGGTGAGAGTCGATCGACCTCCACTGTGCGGAGATGACGGTGGGGAGCACCGCCGTCACGATGAAGGGCACGAAGTCTGTTCGTTTCCACGTCCGTTCGACACGACAACACCAACACCAACACGGACAACGTCAGTGACAAGACGTCAGTGACAAGCACGCTTCTGGGGGGAGGGGCGTTCGGGAATGTATACATACAGCAGGAGGTCGTGCAAACATGGCAAGCATGACGCGTGCTCTAGCAAGCGGCACAAAGTCACTATTGCGGCTGCTGGTTTTGCGGCGGACAGACCGGGCTACAGCCACAGACACCACATATGGAAGCCGTTCGACGAACAACGCCGAAAGAGTAGGACCTCCCAGTATAACACCAAATGCCAAATGCTACAGTGCTGTAGCTCTCGGGGTATCTTTCTATAGACAAAACCAAGCAGGCGAGACCAGCGTTGCAACTCTGGCACATTACACACAGGAGAAGTAAGAGGTGATGTCCGTGTTGAACGGCGGCTGTCCCGTCACCCCGTATACCACAGGCATCAGCAGAAGGATGTATCCGGGGATGGCCTGAACAAAACACGAATGACAGCACCCGCGGTAGGATAAGAGTGTCACCAGTAAAAAAAAAGTCCACCTTGCAGACGCTACCATAGTACACTCACAGGTAACGTTGCTCGACACCAGAGTCTTTGAAGGCAAAAACGTCGAGGCCGTGTTTCACTACGGCACACCACGAGACTATGGTGATAACTGGTATATAGCGTTGCAGTCTAACCTGCAAGTAGTAGGTGGCTTGGTCGAAGGCGTACATCCGGTGGAAGATGGTGGGGAACGATCCTCCGAAGCTTGTGTAACGGAGACCCTGGTCACGAAACGACAAGAAAAAAAAAAGGGGCGACAACGAGCGACGACGAGGGCCGAGCGATAAAGAGACAGCAACAAGGGGCGGAATGGTTCTCTAAGAGTACATGCAACGGCTCGAAAACGGAGGGAGCCAACAAAATTTCTGAATAGTTTGGTACCATACTAGATATCAAATCACCAAATCACCTGCATGCAACCACACCACAACGTTGAACATCGGTAATCGGCTGTTTCAGGGTATCGTATCATGGGATATGGCTCATGTATTCGGTTTATGTCACACCAGCAGGCAAGCTACATACTGAGGCACATGCTTAAAGAATAGACGTATCGAATGATACAATACGCAGGCACCGAATCGTTTGTTGTGCCTCTTGGTGTTGTGTCCGTACAGTGTACGCACACACCTTGCTGCTGTACGGATTGATGTATATACCTTGGTGTAGAGTAGTTGCACGGCGCCTTGGTGCCACCGCAGGACCTGCTTGATGCGCCACGTGAGGTTGGTCGGCTGGTGCGTGCACCAGGCCAATACCTCTCCCGGCTCGTTCACGTACACGCTGCGCCACCCCTGCCGATAAACAACAGCAAGAGCAATACAGGACAGAGTACGGTACCAAATCGCGGTAGAGGGACCGAGGTAAGCAGCGTGGCTGGCGGGTAAGCATTGCACTTGGCGTTTGAAGCAGCGCGTAAGGTGTCAGACGCATCACATCTGACATGTGACCCATCCGACGTGGTCCCAAGAAAAGCACGGTACAGCAGTACTTGTACGGCGGTCATGACCAGCGTGCACAATAAATAGTGACATGATGCGTACGCGTGAAGTGAACAATTTTCCAACCAAAAACCTGTTCGAAAAAGCGACAGCGCAAAAGCAAGCGTAATGCACTTTCGGTCGCAATTGTCCGAGATTTCGCTTGCATCCAACAAAACCTCCTCGCAACCTGCTTCTACATACCAGCCGCCTTCAGAATTGAAGATTCAAAGCACCGAAAGACATGTTCACAAGTCACATGCACCTGTCGGAACAGATCGATGGAGGTGTGCGTGTCCTCGATAAGCATCTCCGCTCGGAAGCCCAGCTGCTTCCCCACCAGCCCCAAATCCTTAGCATCGACACCGTTCTTGCCATCGGGTGACCTCCCCCTCAAAGCCTCCATACGCCACAGACTGCCCTGTCCACTCGAAGACACCGCGCCGATCCCGTCCTTCCCGATGTTGATCACGTCATACTGAGATTGACACCAAAAGCAAACACGCAACGGAGCAGCAAGACACGAACTTTGACGTAAGCACGTTGGCACCACGGTCACTATGACATGCATGACATGCGACGGTGCTGCACACAACCATTGCCACTTTGCCCCCCGGAGACAGGGCAACCCTAATGACAATGTTCACCAAACCCGAGCCCGTCAACTCCCTTTTTCTTTTTCTTCATTTCAAATCAACGCTCAGAGAACTTGCGCAATTTCCTCCGTGAGGCACCCTCCCCACCCCTCCTGCGGTGCTTTGGCTTCGATTTTTAATGCGGCAAGAAAGCAGCATTCCCTTCCCTGTAGACACACGAACTAGCGCTTTCCCACCAGGCCAGGGACGGAAATGAGAGAAAAACTCACTTTGAAAAAAAACTCGGTTACGCAGGGATTCGAAACCTTGACTCGGGCCGCTAGAAGGTTTTGGAGGATACCAACTAGAACAGACACGAACAAAAAAAAGTTTCTCGCCGCACACACTCAAAATACACGACTACAAGCTACTCAGGTCAAGGTGTGACACGATTAGCGACAGGGAAGGAAGGACCTAACTGGCTGTGAATGTCTGATCCACTTGTCTGACTTCACCTGTGAAGCAGCGTGGTTGCCCAATGGGTCGTCGGGTAGATCTTTCCTGAAGCGTTGAGGCGTCTGCACGAATGCCACCTGTTGAGACCGACACATACAAAAAACACGGACGCAAAGACCAACCCATAGCGCCCGACGGGCAACGACATCGGGCATCACCATCATCGTTATGATCAATCTTCCTTTTTGTGTGTGATTACATCACACAAGGACATACCAACACAATGAATCGGGTGCATTTTCTCTCGAGGTACGTATCGCCAAGGAATACATCCACCATGCTCACCGAAACAAGGTTCGTTAGCGCTTCCACTACATACCGCACATGAGGTAACCTCACATTACATCCCGTCCACCCGTCGGCTGTCGCAGCTATCCCACACACGCACCTTGGCCCACTTGTACTGTTGGGTGGTGGCATCCAAGTCGAAGAAGTACGGCGTTGTTCTTTGCAGGAACTCCGGTTGCAGCTGGTGCCTGGCGTCGTTGACCACGACGATAGTGCTGGGCCCGATCAAGGGTGGAGCGGTGGGGTCGTCCATGGGGAACATGGCTGCGTTCTGATCGCGAGGCACCGTGAGGCCAGAACCCGATGCAAAGCGAAGGAAGGACATGCGAAAACGGCAAAGGCAGCAGTTGGACAGGATTAGCTTGAGCTCGCTCGGAGAGGATAGGTAACGGCAAGAGGGATGATCAAAACACAGCCGGAGACAGCAAAAAATCGTCTCGGTAGGGACGAGACAAATTCAGCACCATATCAAGTTTGACGAGACAGCCCCTTATCTAAAGGTGGCAGACGCACCATTGAGAGCCGCGCGCACGCGCCGCTAGCAGTGGTACCACATGCATCCGAAGTTCGGTTCGTCTCCTCCCCGTACCGTAGCACCCCAAAACCAACCAAAACCTCCCGTGTCCACACTCACCATGTTCCCTGCCTTGGGACTGATCCTGGGAGTACCGGCGTCCTTCCTCGAGTAGTAGATCATGCACGCCGCCTGCCTGGCGTGTCCCCGGAAGACCTGGAAGAAGCCGGGGGTGATGTGCACGCTCTCGTCGGCAAGCAGGCTGACGCCGTGCGTGAGTCCTTCGACCTCGTCCCCCTCCTTCGACTTGGAGATGTCCTCGTCCAGATCTTGGTTCAGGAAGGACTGATTCCGGTCCAGACGGTACAGGTCTCCTCCGTCGTCTCCCGTCACGAGGTCATCCATCTGCCGCACCATGGCCACCGCACGGCTCAGCCTGATAAACGCACCGACCCCCAAGTGTGCGCCAGCGTTTCGGCCGAAAAGTGAGCACAAAAGGATCATCAATGTCGGTGTTCTGCTATACTAGGAGACAAGTGTGCATACCGATATCGTGTTTGGGGTGTCGGCGCGTGTACTATGTTATCACGCTCGCGGGCTCTTGTCGAGAGCGTGTTGCATAAAGGAGTGACTCAAGTTCCTTGATTAACTATTAACGAGGTATTAACGAGTGACAAGCATGAGCAGCAGGCAAGAAGGACCTGCTGCTGCACACACGTCTACATATACCCAAACCTATCATATATGCGTACCCCCTCGGATATCTCGGAGATCTGTATCCTGCCGAGTACATAAACAGTACCACTGCGCGCTAAATTCACGGCCACCGCACGGCCAAGCCTGACACATGGACGACACCCAAGTGTGCAGCAGCGTTTAGGACGAGATAAGTGCCCGCGCGTAACGTCATAGTGGTACCGCACAATTTTTCGAGCGAAAGAGAGAGAGAGAAAGCGAATCATGCTTAGAGGGAGAACGAACCACGATACTTCGAAGTGCAACCATTGCTCAACAGAGGTGATGGTGCCGGCCTACTAGTACGAAATTAAGCTGTCACATCGATCGGGACCCACACAGCAATGGATGCATGCACAGGTACAGTACCTGGTATGGGCATTTCACGCCAACGACGAATGGCTCTTACCCGACGTCCTTGAAGATGTGCACTTTGCCGAAGCCGCGCTTCTCGTGGCACCACTCGTAGAACGCCAGGGGCGTAAGGTTGCGGACACCCTCAGCCTGCAGGATCTTTCTTGTCGACTGCGCGAGGATCTGAGTGCTCAGTGCGTGCACCCCCGACGTGAGCATGTACACCTCCTGTGGTGGCCGAAATAGGGTCGAGGATAGTGTGGTGACGTACCAAATTATACACGGCAGGATAAAACAGGTGAACCGGCAACGCCAAGTGGGAGTGTGGTGTGGATATGCCATGTGCGTGCTTAAGTAACGGCAAAGCATTCCTTCATTCGAGACGGTTCGTTTTTTGCGTCTTGCTTGGTGCCTCGCAATCCAGAAAAAAAAAATACACCTGGACAATTAACCAGATTGCCGCACCGACTAGATAGGAACTCCACGGAACTCCACATGTCCCCTGTCTCTATCCCGATCACGTCCTACTACGAAACACGGCCACAACTACCAGGCGATCGGTCATCTTCCGACAAACAAAAACCTGCGTTTGTAAGTTTTGTACGTTTGACGTCCGACCCACCGTGGCAACCCTTTAGCTGCAACTCCTGTCTAACTCCTGTTGGACGTGCAAGCTCCACGAGTACCTACCGAGGTAGACTACCTAAACCAACACAGGAGATACGTAGACTTGGTAGATGTGTGGGTACCTTCCGGCGCTTCTCGTCCAACACGATGACTCGAAGCCCGTCCCCTCGCCCCGTCTTGGACTCCGAGCTGGACGGCCAAGAGCGTTGACTCGATGCTCCCAACAGGCACTTGAGCACGACGTCGAGCCGCTCTCCCGCTGTGGGCAGGAGAATGGCCACCACCGCGTTCGCTCCCACAGCTGGGTCTTGCTGAGGTAGTGAAGGTGCCGTAAGGCGAAAATATGGACATAAAAACGAACAAGTATAAGTTCACATCCAACCTCCTATTGCGGCACTGCTGTGCTAGGCAGACCAGAAGCAAACTGAGGGGTACCCTACATAACATGATGATGACCTAGACGGGACTTTCCGCAAAAAGATACAAGTCAACTTATGTTCCACCTTATGTCGTGCACGTCAAGGAAGGCCACTTGGTTCCAAGAGAACCTGCCACGACTCTCTGACCGTATTATGCATCGAATCTCCCCGCACCCCCTCCGGACCCCATGTTTGCCGTTTCGACTCTCTCTCACCGCCACGATCTGGTCCATTGTTGTCCGAACGCGTTGCACCGCGAAGAGTCGTTGCGTGTGTCCCAGCCAGATGGCGAAGAGCAGAAACACCTCCACCATGAAGAACGTCCACCACCACCAAATGTACTCTGGAGGCACGTCGCGTGTCTCCAGGAACCGCCATACCATATCTGTGCCCGGAGTATGGTGCGCCCCAAAGACATCCATCAACATAAATAGCCAATCGCAACGGCAGTAAGTATACACAAAGCAGCCAATCAACAAAGCGACAGTAGCAGCGGCAGCGGTCAACAGCGGCATGGGGGGGTGGGGTGTGCAAAGTGATGAATGAAATCAAAGATGATCGCGGGGAACTAGAGATCAGCTTGTCAGGCAACCGTATTTTCCATGCATCGCACAGAGGTTCAATCCAAGCAAGGGTTGCGTCTGCAACGTGCTTGTCATCATTCTGTTTGTCTCCGTCCCTTCCATATCCACCCCCCCCCAAAAAAAAAATTCAGCCAAAAAGTGGTGCTACTCCGTGCGCGCACCGTCCGGGAAAACGGGAAAATCGAAACCGAACACTTTCCCGTAGAATTTTCCAGCCGTCTTCAAACGGTGCAGTTGGCTCTCTTCCCACCTCCCGCCTACTTACATGTATATACACGTTTTTTTAAACGAAACGCCGAAACGCCGACGAAAACCTCGCCGAGAATGGCGCTTTGCAGACGAAGGTGCTGTAAAGGCACGTTTCATTCAAGACAAAAAAACGAGGACTCCACCTTCACTATAGATCATACAAGACAAAACAAGGACTGCATCCCGGCAAAACTCCATGCGACATTCCAACCAGCACGCCTAGACAACCAAATTGGGACACACACAAAAACGTGCCGTTCCCCGCCGTTCGATTTCTTTGCCGTGCTACGCCCAGGTCATTTTGGATTTTCCAGTCAGAGTAAATTTCAAGGGGGGAGGTAGGGTACATGAATAAGGGCTTGGCGCACCCTTATCCGGCTGTCTCAGGTCAACACGTGGACTTATCCATCCCAAGTCGCCCACAGATTTGAATCTGGAACAGTTATATGGGCGGAGGGAGGGGGCGACCCTGACAATAGTTTCGCGATACAGCGGGGAGAACGTGTGCCACACACGAAAAAAAAAGCGCGTCTGTCTGTTCTCTGAAGTCTGTCCCTATGATATTTGCAAGCAATGGCCACTGCTGTAGGCAAACACAAACAAACCCGATCCTTGTGAAACATGCAAGGGTAGGGATTCAAGGGGTGGGTTGGGGGGGGTCGCGAGAACTAGTGTCCGCTAGTGATGCAACGTCGTGTCGGCAAACACGCCTGCCATGCCTCATGCTCTCTGCTTCTTTCTCGGTGGTGTGTTTTTTTTCTGTTGAGTTTGATTTGATTTGATTTAAATACTTCCAAAATACCCAAATCTGGGTTGGAGAACAAGCGGGCGCGAGGTTACTCCGACATATGTGGCGTCTCTGACTGCGGAGACGACCGACAAGGGCACGCACGGCGTAGCAAACCGGCCAAAAGCCTGTCACCTCAGCCTATCACCCACGCTGGTCATTCACCAGTCAAAGGTAGACACTCACAAGTACATCCTGATGCGACGTTCAAGACAACCACCCCCCGGATGAGGAAGCTTGAGGAGAAGCTCTCCGTGCTTTGTGGATTGATTTTTTCTCCACTCTGCACGAAGCGGGTGTCGTATGCGCCAGGCTTTCCGTTCCGCCTTCTGCCTGGGCCTGATCCGGACGTGGAGTGGGCCATGCCCAGCGCCTCCTGAGGGCAAATGTACCCGATCGAAGCAGGCACAGGGAGGCATGGATGGATGAGGAAATGTACCCATCCCAAATCCGTTTGTTTTGTCGTCTTGTCTTTCCTTGCGAGTGTGGTATTATGGCGTGAGACAGCACGAGAGACGGGGAGAGGAAAAAAAAGAGACGCGCCTGCTGCCGATTTTCATAGGGGTTTTAGAGAGGGAGGGGCAACACAAGCGGGGCCGGGAAAAAAAATCGCCGTGGTACATGTGCTCGATCGATCGCCTGTGGCGGGTGAGCGAAAAAAGATGGCCAACCCCAAGGATCACAACAGCGGTAACAGCAGCAGCAGCAGCCGACGCAAACCCAAGCCATTCGGCGGGTTAGAATCGTCAACAAGCACGGGGAAGACGCAAGAGAATCGGGTCCGCCCTCTGTCTGCTTTTGGACCAACAAACCGAACTCGGAAAATAAACGCCGCAAGACAAACATACCTGCATCTTGCCAAGCCTTTGCGTGAAGCCACCTCCGGACTTGACCCGCCGGTGCCCATTGCTGCGGCCCTCCTCCACCTTGTTGACACCGAGCCACGCGGCAATTTGTCCGACGGCGAGCAGCAGCCGCGGGCTCAGACGGGGGATAGAAGTTCGGTCACACGCATGAACAGGTGTCTAGTTCAGAAAGCCAACATAAATAAGCACACACACACGTGAGAGGAGCAAGGGGAGGGAGGAGCGAAAGGGACAAAGAACATCGGCCCCCGACCCAACACTACAAAGTCCCAACAGACCCATTCGAAAACACACCCACCTTCCCCATGCTGTCCTGCCCATAGCCATTGGCCCTCCGGCTGCTCGGCATGCTTCCCTTTCGTCAACGCCTCAAGTGTCTGGCGCCACCACGGCGAGGGGGTTGAGAGAAGACGCGATCGATCCGGTGTGCGATTGGACGTGAAATTTCTTCAGAAAAAACAGTGAGCGATTTTCGAATGTTGTCGTCAGAGGGACGCAGATCGTACCCTGCCCATGTGGGCCCTTATACCGACAATTGTGCAGCACCCACAGGCTAGAATCTTCGCGGCATGCAGCAGTCTTGGCGAGCACCAGCCACCTCGCTGGTTCGTGGCGCTTCGTTCACGATTCCATTCGATCCTGTCTCTGTCTAGCCAGAACCTCGCCGCCGTTTGCCTTGAGATCATGTTTCGCGGCTAGCCCACATGGGCGTGGACAACAGCTGAAAAAGAACACATATTCCTCGTCAAAGTACGCCTCTGTCTTCTACAACTCCTAAATTCGGAAAAGCAGGTCGAACGACAATCCCCCATAACGCGCAGCAGAGTGAGAGGGCGGGACTCTTGACGGCGCTGCTGATTAAGAGCGGTGCAGAGAGATGGACCTCAAGTCGGCGGATGATCCGAGCCTCACGGACGAAGGGAGATGGTTTCCGGGTTCCCCTCTCCCAGCGGCCCCAGTGCAGGTGGGTTGGTGGTGCACGCTTTTCCCTCAGCTCGGGTGATGAAAGTTGCGACATATTTTTTCTGTCGTATGCTACCTGCGTATGTATAGTCTGGCTGGTTTGCGGTTTGGCTCGTTCTTTTGACGGTACTTGCTGGTATGTATCACGGAAGAAATTGCACAGAGAGGGTGAGAGAAAGCGAGAGCTACGAGACCCGCCCTCCTCCCAAGGCACCTCGGGCGTTCGTTCGTTCTCTCACCGATGTCATCTAACGAGTTTTGAAAATACCCCAATGGAAGCAGCAAATAATATTCCTGCTTTCTCCGTCCGCTCTCTCTCTTTCTCTCCCTCTGTGTGTTCGGCTTGGCTGGCCGCTGCCTCGCTCCTCTTTGTTGGTCAGATAATCGACGTACCGCAGCGCGCGCAGACGATGCTGGACGACGGGATGCAAGTCAGGAGCAGCGCCGCTCCCAGCGAGAACGGGGTGGGTCCTCCCGCGTCCTTGGCTATGTTTGGGACCGCGGGGGGCATCTCAAACGTGTCTGTCCCACGCGATGGATCTGTCAGGTGAGAAGTGTTCCTTGACAGCGTGCTCCGGTTTTTTTGCTCCGTGTTTCTTGTGGCGGGCTCTGTTTCTGAGGTTTTTTGTGCAGGTCGGCCGCTGTTCTCTGTTCGCCTTTTGCAGGTATGCCGGGTCAAACTCTCTTTGTGCAATGGGTGAAATGGAACTAATTGTCCGTGAGGGGAGCCAGCAAGGCCAGCGACGCCAACGTGGGATTATCCCATGTCATGTCTGGCGGTTTGTATGCGTTGCAGTGTTCTCTTTTGTTACTCCCCCCAGAAAACTGCGTTTCTCTGATGTTTTCCGTACGCTACTTGCTGGCTCACGTTTTTGATATTTTCACATTTAGCTTTTGATGAAATCGAGGATATATCACGGAGGTGTTTGATGAAATGAACGTGGTCCTGTCTCTCTCCCCCTTGGCCTGAAAGCAGCGGGGATCGTGGCGTGCGGGTGGCGCAGGAGCCCGACATTTACGACGTCATCGAAGCCGACAACACGGCGATGGAACGGGTCACCAGGTCGAAAGCCCGCGACATCGCCAACTCGACACCGACCCACTCGAGCAACCACAGCATTATCGGAAGGGGGATCCTCAAGAGGGGCAAGAGCAGCAGACGTCCCGGGAGCGATTCCGTCCGCGCAGGATTCAGCGACGTCAAATCCGTTTCAAGGTCAGGATGCGTTTGTCTTGTAATCTGCCATGATTTTTCGATCGGGCTTACATCGACACCACGGGCTGACCAAAAGATGACGGATAGATGTCGAAATGGGTGTGCATTCATGCTTACGTATTGGAGATTACCACGACCAGGGGCAATATGATGATAAACGCCGACTGATGGTTGTGGTCTTACTTGTTCGGTGTGTACAAGTGTAACGGTGAGAGGCGCAGTCAGGCTCTGCGGGCATGTTTCACAGCAGTAGAAAAATGTCATGAATGGGCAGTGCTTTTTTATTGTATTTCGTAGTACTTGTCAAATACAGCTGCCTATGCATCGATAACGTTGTATGCGTGTGCACTTGAGTTAGAAGGACACACCTTGGCGGGATGTCTTGTCTTGTTTACATATCTACAAACGTTCTGTTTTGTGTCGTAGATATAATCCATGGTATGCATGAGTACGCATTTGGGCGACGCTTTTTGGTAGTCTTGCTCGGAAGATGCCTCATACTGAGTCTCGACAGAGTGAGTTTTTCTCGCCAATTCAATCCTGGTCTCCGTTGGAAGCGACGCGCTGCAAACCTCGTTGTTCGTAAACTTGATCGACATCATAAGTCGCGAGGGAAGGGACTGCTGTACCCTTCCCGCGATAAAAATATCTCAGGCAGGAATCGCACAAGGGGGTCGAACCCCCCCCTCCAATGTGACCCCGGTTGGGTCGTCTAGCTGGTAGAAGTGGAGGATAGGGGCTAGAGGGGCAGACGACAGAGTCCAATTATGGGTGGGAAAAAAAATGTACAATTCGTTAGCTATTGAGCAGGATAGCATGTACCGAAAGTCGGCTAGCGGCTGTTATTCATGTTTCACAGGCGTCAACACGGAGTCATGGTCTGTTACAGCCACAGCAGCAGAGAATGGGTTATTTTCCGCGGCGTTCATTATATGTTTTACTAAATAACGGGCCTAGCTCCACCCGCGGGTTCGGCAGCGGCATGCTGAAGTACTCCATCTCTTGACTAATAGTGTCATGGATTTGCTTGTCTGACAACCCGATCGCGACGAGACGAGACCACCGACTGCTTTCTGGGGCCCTTGCGAATCTCTATGTGTTTGATGTATCTACTTGCCATGGCATTGCGCGTTTTACTTGGCTTTGTACTGGGGTCGTGGTTTGGGTGGGCGTTCGAATGACGTTGACGTTGAAAATTGTGTTTTTGCTGAGAGCGTAAATCGGAACGCGTTTTACATGATCACAGCTTGGGTATTCAAATGATGTAATGCACAGGTGGGGACAAACGCTCCTGAGGCAGGGCTATACACTTGGTTACAGGGTCGGCGCGTTTTCCATGGGCAGTCGTTCCGTCAAAACTATCGTTCATTTTGTCCTGCGCGTTACTAAACCGTTGGAAGGCGGGCTGCTCCACTTTGTCGTTGGGGTGTTCTTTATCATAGCCACCTCGGTCATTGTGGTTATTTTGCGAGGCTGCGTTCTATCTTGTTGGATTGAAGCGTCTACTGTTTCACGCCGCCATGTCATGTGTTGGTTGTGTGAGGGAGAACGATTCCAGATGTACGTGTTACACAAATCTAAGTACAATGCAGAAGAGGTTGGTTGTGCTATGTTCTACGTAGCGCGCCTTGCTCGCCCTTCTGATCTCATCCAAAGAATATAAATAGATTCTCCGACCGATGAGCCTTCCCTTCACGTGTTGCTCATCAACGCCCGGCCATTGGTATACCATGGACTATTGGCTACAGGTAAAGCAGCATGTGATTATGGCAGGAAGATTGAATAGCACAACGCAAGCACCACCAATTGGACACGATGCGATGCGCGGCACAACAATGCAACAGGTTTGACCCTGACGAGCCGCCACGGAGCTACCTACAGAGCAGGGAAGAGAGCATGCTCGGAGAGGGATCAGTGGCGGCGTCTCCAGGCACCATGCTGGGCAGACATCTCGGACGCCTGAACTTCCCCAGCCACCACCAGAAGGGGTACGTACTTTTATGTGTTTCGTGTGTTTGTCTCTGTCCTGTCCTCGTATCTAGCAAGTAGCGCTATTCTAACTACGGCTTGGTGAGCAGATTGAAAGGAGACCAGGACCAGTACAAACGAGGTTTTAAACAATATAAGTCGGGTAAAATCAAGTTTCGCTCGTTTGGCCGGGATGACAAGAATCTATTCTGAATTCCTGAACATAAAGAAGGTCGCGCTGGGCCTTACTTTTGGAGTCGGGATATCAAAGTTGAGCTCTCTGCTGGAAAACCAGGATTCGTTGTCGTCTTCGACGAGTCAAGTCTCGATTTTTTACATTTGGTTTTTGAAGTCGACGTTGCTACCCGGCCCGACCTCGATGACACGGAACAATTCGCCGAGCCCTGTTCGTATGTACATAGATATGCGAAGATGTGGAGATCGCCTCTGTATCCGTCTATCGACGAAGACTCCCTTGTTCCACATTGGCGTGCATGAAGAGATACCTGATGTTGGTGGGAAAGATCCGCGTTCCACAATGTGATCGGAGGACCAATGAAAATCTTGTCGGGCGGTCTTTTGTACGTTCTTTCTGGTGTAACGTGATGGACGTTTCTGGTGCACGGGCCGAGCTACTGCTACACCACTATCAGCTATGAAGCTCCTTTTTCTGGTAGCAAGCAAGGGGGTCCGCATGGATGTTACCTTTAGTGACCTTTCAAGAAGCGCCCATCTGTCGAGCACGACCGGTTTCCTCTGTTCACAACACCAATGGCCAATGGCCAATGCAGTTTCTTCTCTTATCCGCACATGAAACGTCCAGTGATGCAGACTGCTGTACCTCCCCCGTGGGCAACAGGCCCAACAGACAGTTTTCGTTCGAGCCGTACCGTGCTGACCACAGACTACTGCTGCATCGGCTGCTCGTTTCTCCTTTCATCAACCCGTTGGATGAATTGCTGTCTGTCCCGTCGCTCTAACACACATGCTCACACCTCGTACCACAAACCACCCAACCCAACCCTACGCGACGAAGCAGAAGCAGCCCCAGTAGGCAGTCAGAGGTCTCGGCGATTCAGACCCCCGGTGATCCCCAACCGGGCCCCTGGCAGCGTGCCCCCTCCAGTGTGGGCAGCCGCTTCTCTGTCCGGCGTTTCATGACGGGTTCGAGGATGGGGTCCTTCAAGAGGGCCTCGGGCATGGACGATGATGATCAAGACTCGAACCTGTTCTTCGACCGGGTCTACTGCGCCAACCCGCAGGTGCATTGTGGTATATCACGGTCGCGGGTCCTGAAATACCGCGGTTATCACTTGTCACGGGATTTGGCTACGGTACCACGTATTCCCCCACCGCGGTATATCGGGACAAAAGCGGTTTGGTTTACCTCTCATTGTTTCTCTTCTCGCGTGCTGGCCTTTGGCAGTGGTTTGTTGGTTGCCTTACTCGTCTTGCAGCGGCCAATCCCATCGCGCCAAAGGAGTTGGTGGAACCCTGCCCAGTGTGCTTTCTGTCCATCTCATTCGTCGCGTGTTATCGGACAGCAGCGATTGCAAATTGGTGTCTGAGGTTTGAGAGAATCGCACCCACCAAAAGATGCGGCTCACGATTTGTGTTGCTATCGATGGCTGAGTCATTTATTTTTGTGGCCGCGCCACCCTGTGTTCTTGTGTTCCACAAACACCATCGTGACGCAACTTTAGGAAAAGAGGCTCTTCCCGTCGGCCCACCTGGTCCGGGTTCTCGCCGTCGCTAACGCTGGCCTGGGCGTTCTTTACCTGCACGTGAGTTGTGATGGGGACACGGTAAATGGCGTATCTATGTTGAATTGTTGCTTCTCGTGCATGAGGCTGCCACCGCATGTATCCGCACAACCTATCATGGCCCAGGCCAACCTTGCCGGCATTCCGCCGTTGTCGTATGATGTGCCGTGTTGCAAAGAGTCTCGTGAAACGTGGTGCGTAGGGCTGCGCGCGCATGGGTGAAGCGCTTGTAATGGTATGCCAACATGTTTCCGTTCTTTGTGTTGCCTTTTGCTTGTCGAAGGCACCGGACTGCACCTCGCAAACCTTGCACCTCAGCGGCCTCGTATGACCTCTCTCCAAGTCGACTGATATGACACCGCCAAGAGCCAATCTGTTGATCCACACTTACCAGCATCACTCTTCCGTGGGTGGTTCCGTACTCCACCGCTGGCGCCGGTGCGGCTACTGCTCTACCTGCCATAGCTGTTATGCACACATGTTGACGTCTGATGCATCGTGTGTCTCATTCGTGTTTGCTATCGCCGATCCGCTTCCTCTGTCATGTCTCTTGTCTTGTCATTCCAGTGGCGGTACACGAGCACCTTCCCGCCCACGATCGACCGTTGGGATTACATGTCTTGGAAGCTGTACTGGTGGTGGCTGTTCTTCTCGGCAGAGTTTTTCCTGGCCATCGCCGTGTGGGTCGGCCTGGCTCAACGTCTATTCCCCGTGCAGCGGATCAAGGTCACCATGGACGACATCACGTCCGTCGACGATCAAGTCGGCTACAACGCACGGTGAGCGAGACGCCCACGCCACAACACATGACACACCCTATCCAATAGCAAGAATTTGCAGTATATTGGGAGTGGCACCTTGCGAACAGCGCTCTTCCGCATCTCTACAGGAGAGGGCTCCCGATAAGCGTCATCGCCACCCTGACGCTATCGTGCCACCACGTGTCTCAACCGATGCCTGTACTCACAGTGTGTGCATCCTCCTCCCCACGGCTGGAGAGAACCTAGAGGTCGTGTTCAAGGCGCTCGTAGGAGCCCTCTCCCAGCGTCTTTGGGACTCTGGCCTGCCCGGCAGCCAGACTCTTCGCGTTATCGTCCTCGACGAGAAGCGTCGCCTCGAGGTCTACCGCGTGGCCGCCGGCGTACACAGGATAGGAGAGCTGCTGGCTGGAAGGCGAATCCAGCAGATTCTCATGGTGAGCCAGCTTAGCCTAGCCTGGCCTCGTGTGCTTTGCATCCATCCCACCACCGATAGGCTCGCGCGATTTTTCTTGTTTTTTGTCTGATGTCGCCGCGGATTCATTGTTTGGTCCTCACCTCAACCGTGGTTGTATATCAAAAGCAGCAAATAGCTTGACAGGATTTTTTTTCTTGTGGCACCGGGTACACCCTTCGCTCGGAGGTCGCTCGCCGACCGCTGCGGTTGATGCCACAGAGCCCTTGAGGTAATGCGCAGTTGCGGGTCTCTTGCCCACCTATTGGAAGCAACCAGAGTTTGATTGGCGACCGCGGTGGGTGATGTGCCTCTATTCAAAGATGATTGACACGATGAATGTGGTGCGCTCTTCACTCGCTGTCCCTTTCGCCTGGCGATGCGTTGTTTTCTTTGGTGCAGGCTGAGGGCGTGACGGAGCTAACGCCGAAGGGGTTCATCGACTGGTGCCGTAACGGGAGCGGTTATGAGCGCAAGCACTTGTACGACGACAAGAAGCTCAACGAAGCCGTGCAGGTGATTCAGAAAACATTGCGCCATGTGTTGTACGATAATATGATACAAAAATTGGCCCTGAGCAGTGGTAGCCGAACGACCGATCTACCGGCATTGGCTGTAATAGGTGTTGCTATCTTCACCTGTCCCATGTGGCGCTATTTGTAGCGCATTTGAGTCTTAATGTTCCTGCGGAGGCCTTTACCGCGTATGACCCGTACCAAATTCCGTAACGGGTCGTTGCCGCGGCGGAAAGTTGCCGCAGGTTTAACCTCCCGTGTACCATACTCCCCCCCTCCCCGCTTGACCTCCAACTTGCAGCAACACCAATCCCTCTCTGTTGTCCCCTTCCGTTCCCATGCAACGTTCGGCGCAACACACGAAAAGGTGCTGCGTCTCCTCGACGCCATGTGTCTAGCCAACGGGCTGACGGACGCCTTCGCCCTTGAGGCAAGGCCTTCCTCCGCAACGTACAACCCCGTCACGGCGGCCGCCTGGAACGCGGCCGCGCAGGCGCAGAAGTCCAACAAGCCGAGCGTAGAGGCGGTGGCCCAGACAAGCGATGCGGCACGGTCGGAAGCGGAGGCGAAGATGTTGGGCGCCTCGGCGATGAATATCACGCCAGGTGGGCAGTTTGGGGCAGGTCGATTACTTATCTATTATAGTCATCGCGGTCGTGTCGTGAGTTTTGTGTACACTCAAGGTGCTTCGAAGTATGATCTCAATTGAAACGCTTTTGTGGGTAATTCGTACGTGGCCATCTGTTTGTGATGTGACTGTAACGATCTTGTTTGTAACTGTAACTGCTGTAGCCGGGTATGGTATGGTGTTTCTGGGCTCTTGTTCTTCTGTGCTGAATTCGCAATTTATTTGCACCTGCGTCTTGGTCTCGATCGTATCTCTTGTCACATGATCGTCGTACCCTAACCTAACCCCGTGGTGTTTTCGGTGATCCTCAGGGTTCTTCGAGATCTACGGCACGCACCTTGACCCTGACAACATGGAGACCAGCAAAGAGGTGCAGAAGGGGCTACCCACGCTCATCTATTTCTCGAGGAAGAACGCCGGTACCCCCAAGATCAGTCCCAAGGCTGGAAACATGTAAGACAGAGAAATTGTTGCAGGACTTACAGATGTGGCAGCGTTGACGCGACTACTGTTAGCCCTGTGGTGCGATTTTCCTGTTGTTCAGATGAGAGCATGGGTGACCACGACTTGATGGGGGGTCCGGGAATCGGCATGGTGCACACCGATGTTTTTTGGGCGACGAGTTTTGTCTTGCAAAGGTTTGAAGAGGCGTGGACAGATGGTTTCGTTCTCGTGCCCGGGCCTTGCCACCAGCACCCTTGTACTCACTCTCGTCTCACCTCGCGCTTGCTGGTACCGTGTAACTCTACTCTACTGTACGCACCCCCTCTGCTGCTGTTCGTGTTCCCTGTGAACAACTGCGTGTGGGGCAACGATATTGTTGGTGTGGACAGGAACGCTGCCATCTTCCCCGTGGATGACCCCACCATGACCCCTCTCACCGGAGACTCTACGATCGTGGTCGTCAATGATGCGCGGCACCAGCTGGAGGGCAACTTCCTCCAACGGACAGTGCCGTACTTCTTCGAGCTCACTGGCGGACATGCCACTGTGGCCTCGGGCGGACGCTACCGATGGGCCAAGGTACGGCGGCTTCATTATTGATGGCCACATTTTTAGCTATGCCTTGCCGACTTGCTCCTTGCTTTGGTGACCCTAACGCTCACCGGATCAAAGATCAGCGATGGCAGAGGCTTGTCCGCCGTGTGTGGGTTTTTGTGTGTTCATTCCATTATTTCTGACGTCACTGTACACGTTTTTGCGGTGTATATATCTGACATATCAGTCGAGGTCACTCGAGAGGGTCGCAGACTAAATTCTTTGGCGTGACCGGTTTTCCTGTGGTCTGGTGTCCTTGTCTGTCTCCGCTCGCTCGTTCCTTTCAGGTGGCGTTCGTGCAGACACCCCAGCGTTTCCGCATGGAGCTCAGCAACGACCCCCTCGGCAACCACGCCATCTCTCAGTACGACGTGATCAACCACGGGAAGGACGGCATCGGCGCCGTTTCTTCGAGTGGACAGGGCAGTCTGTGGCGCGTGGAGGCGCTCAAGGGCCAGCGTCCTGATGGCAAGATCGTAGACGATCCGACGGAGCTAGACCTGGTGGGGAAGAAGTTAGGGTTCCGCTCGGAGATGCTTATCGAGGACACGCACACCTCCATCGAGCTGTTCCGACAGGTGGGATATGAGCATTATTGTCAATTGATGGTACTTTAACACGTAAAACTCGCTGTCTGTTGTCACGGCTGGTTGTTTTTCTGAGTTCTGAGGTGTGAGGTGTGTGTCCTGCCTGACCTCGGCGTCATGGTGGACGGGACGGTAAACACAGCGGCCGGTATTTTCCCGTCTGCCGGGCTGTTGGTCTGTACTCTTCCATGGTCCATGGTACGGGTGAAACGGATCCCCTTGACTTCGCGTCCAAACTCTCACACGACACGATGAGAATCACACTGTATTTTGCCCCCCACACTCCAAGGGGCTGACACACACTAACGGCCGACCTTGCTTCGTTTCGTTTTGCCACGGACGGTTGTGCGATCGTTTTTATCGGCAGGGGTGGCGCAGCGTGTACGTGAACGAGCCGGGAGAGGTGTTGGCCTGGTGCACCCACCAACCGTCCAGCCTGACATGGCGTATCAAGCAGGTCCTGCGGTGGCACCAGGGCGCCGTGCAGCTGCTGCTCTTCAAGGGCATCCGGTACACGAGCTTCGGCGGGTACTTTCCCACCATGTGGCATCGCCTCTACGCCTTCGACCAGGCCACGTACTACCTCCAGGCTATCCCCGGATACGTGCTGCTGATCATGCCTATCGTGTACGGAGTGTCGGGCACCCCCCCCTTCGTTACCAGGTGAGACGAGACAATGCGTTCAACATGAAACCTTTTTCTCTCATTGTCGTGGTTGTGTTGTTGCAAGCATGAATTGCCCCTCTCAGCGCCTGTATGTACTATAATAGTGGCTCGCGTCTACAAGAGAGAGTGAGTGTGCAGTCACACTGATGTCATCGAGGTTAGGGTTTGTGAAGAAACATCTGGAGTACACAGGCGCCAACAGATTGATTGGTTGGTTACATTTTTGCAGACCCCAATGAGGCGGTTATTGCGTCACATCGCGTGGACTAACTTACCTGCTGTCTCACGTTTCACTCGTAGGGTATTTATCGAAGTCCGCTTGCTTGCCGCCCCTCACCTCCTTGGCTCTGTGCCGTTTGATTTCGACCTCCAGCTTGAAGGATTACTTCCAGTACTTCACGCCCTTCATCGTGACGGCCCTGCTTCCCACGGCCATCTCGAGCCAGTGGCGCAAGATCGACTCTCACCGCCTGACGCGTGACGAGCAGACTTGGCTCTCTACCACCTACGTGCAGATCTACGCCTTCCTTCAGGTGAGGAGCGAACGAACGAACGGGCTCGTCCGATACCCGATAGATAGCTCACGAATCTGTGGCCTTCTACGTAAGCATACGATCCGCCGTGGCATCGGCTACTGGCAGTGTTGGTCCAGTACTAAACGAAAAATTGCCACCTGCTGCACGCTTGCATGGGTGATTTTTATTTTCCGTGGGGTGCACGAAAATCAACGTTGTGATGCCTTCTACCTTTCTTCTTGGCCTGTACCCCACCAAATGCCGCTGCCGCTGCTAGGCCTTGTGTCATATTGTCACAAATGCACGGTTCGCTCTTCTTCCCTAGCATCGTATTCCCTTGACAGGACACTCTGCAACTTGTCTTGTCATGTACAGGTTGTTTGGACCGGCTTGACCCGCAAGAGCCCTGAGAACGCCTGGGTAGCCAAGGTGCCTACCTGGCCTCTCACCTTCGTCTTCCTGGGGCAGGTGTTTGCGGTCGCGGGTGGCGTTTACTGGGTGGTACAGAAGGGTGAGTCGACTCAGTCAAGCCACGCCATGTCAAAGCGCTATTGTACTGGGCGGCTGACAAGCTGTGGGTAGACGTTTTTTTTCGAGAGGGCGGGGGGCCGCGATTATTAGTTTTGCGTGTCGGCTGTGGGTGTGGTGGATGTTGGCTATTAGTATACTATAGTATAGTATAGTACAGTACAGTACAAAGATCAGTTTTGGTTAATGCCATTGCAGAAAGGAGAGTGTAAGCCGCCCCGCTGCACGACAAGCTCCCGTGCCACGCCACAGGACGAGGCGAAAACCGAACACGAACGACGTGTCGTGGGAAAGTAGAGGCCGTCCTTTTGCGGTATACGCGATGCCGCCAGACGTGGCCGCCATGTCATGTGGGGAATACTGCGGTATAACCGCCAAGGTACATATCCTTGTTCGTTTGTGGATCGTCCGTCCGCCTTTGTCACCGTCGAGACGTGTGTCGAGCCCTTCTGTCGGAGATGTGCCCTCTGCACGCTTGAGCACAGGCACCCCCATCCGATACTCTTTCGAAGCACGTTTTGTCATGACTGCAAGGCTGATGCGAGAAGCTAGACGTTGACTAAATGGACGCTGTTGGGTCGGGTTGCTCTGTGGTGTGTCAGGGTTCGTGCTTTGGTACGCCAACTTCTTCAGTATCATCGTCGTCGCCGGGCTAGCGATGCACGCGCTGTGGCCCATGGTGTCTCTCAGCCTGGGGTGGAGCATCCCCTCCTTCTACTACATCAAGGTGGGCACAGGCCCTCATGTCGGGAGATGCTGGCGTTTTTTGTGTCGAGACCCCGGCGAGGGCACGAATAACGTGTGTTGTCTGTTGAAGCCAAGTAAGGGCGCTGTTGTGACACGATCGAGAGAAAGGGAAGTTCTTGTCGCGGTGGTGTCGCTGTTGTCATGCTCTACTATACTAGGACCTTGATACCGACAAAGTTGCTTGAAGCACTGTTCCCAGTCCTCTCGCTTGTTTTTGGTCCCGTTGATGTCCTTTCCTACGGCATGGCAACACACCATGTCCCTCGCCTATTTATGTACAACAAACACGTATTCTGCGGTGGACAAATTATCATGCATGTGCTTGCATCTGATCTGTTTTCCTGTTGTATTTTTTTTGTTGTGCAGCTCTTCTTGTGGGTCTTCCTTGGCTTCTCGGCTGTGGTGCTGGCGAATGTCTTCAGCGCAGATTAACGGAAGGAAGGAAGGCGCTTCATGCAGACGGGCGGCGCTTGGTGGCGCTGGTTTCTGTCCTATGAGCGGACTTGGCGGGACATTGCAGGCGTACGGTACAGGCTGACCGAGCTTGACGCGACGTACTCGTATTTCGGCCCAGCAGCCTTGAAATGCATGTTTTTCGTTCGCGATGCGGTGCTGGCATGGTTACCCTGTTGTTGTCTTTGACTTTAGTCTTAGCTCGTCAGCAGTCCAGCTAGTCTCGTAGCAGCTAAACCACTATGTAAAAGCCGTCAGACATGCGTGCACTGCGACGCCTCTCTTTGGGGAAAAGAATTTGGAGTCGAATCGAGACCGCGATCGAGTCGACTCGAGACCGCGATCGAGTCGACTCGGGGATTTGCTCTTGGTTGTGGAAGTATTGTTGTCCGTGTTGGTTGGGAGTCGCACTTTGGTGGCGGATGAGTTGGAGGAACCGAAGTGCGTAGATTGAGCGCTTTGTCTGACAGCCTTGGGGCTTGATGGCTCAAGTGTATGCGTATGCATTGTAGTATGTTGCTTGTTCCGTTGCAGGCACTTTTTTTGTCTTGTCATAACTCAAGTCTTACCAGTGTCATTCCTTGAGGTCGTGTATTTCAATTCCTTGTCCCCTTGTTTCGTATTCGTGGTCTTTTTGCATAAATTAATGTCTTTTTATGATGCTCGTCTCCATCGATTCATTCGAGTCTTTTGCCATACGCAGTATTTGGTGGTGCCTGCCGTTTGCAGTAGGTGGTGCCGTAAGGATGTGAGAATGATGCGTTCTGTATGCATGTCTTGAAAGCAGTATCTCTCTCTCTCTCTCTCGCTCGCTCGCTCGCTCCGCCCTCCTTTTTTTTGTATCTGTTGGAATTATAGTAGGGCGTCGTGTCATTGCCGAAGAGATGCGTAAAAAAAAAAATGATGTCTAATGCGTGAAAATCGCACCTCCCGGTTGCGCGGGGGTGCCATTCTGATGGAAGCCTGAGTGGTTCCATCATAGGGGAATTGCCGAATGTTACGGACGGGCGACGGGGGTCAATCGTCGTTGCGTTGTCGCCAAGACGTGGGAGTTGTTGTAAGCAGGTGATGCCTCACGATGTTGCGGCTGCATGACTGTATTAGAACCTCCCGCGATGATGGCGATTTTATGAAAAGAAACACATATGCTTTTCTTGCCTTGTCCATTTAAAGTTGTGGTAGGCATTGTTAAGATACAATACTCGGTAGCATCACAAGCGGCGGCAGCAGCAGCATGCTCGCTATTTCAAGGTGGCGTTTTCGTAAGCTGGAACCCCGGGGCATGCGAAAACGCAAGCCCGTGTTGAAAGCGTGCTACACGTGGCGTAACATGTCGGTTGTTGTAGAGATGGGTGTCATGTCATGGTCTTGGTGGTGTTGCACAGCGGACAGGACAGGAAACAAGCGTATTCAACACGAGAGAGGACTCATCTTCGCTCGGGTACCCGTATTACGTATAGTACACGTGGAGTCGCTTTCACAGCATTGGGTGTTGGTGGTGGTACGAGAACACAGTACAGAGCGGAGTGCCATGCTGTGTGCAAGCGAGATGGTGTACGAGCAAGGGTGAGGATATGTGTCCGACGGATGTTGAGGTTAAGATGAAGATGGCTGGTGGCTTGTCGATATTTTTTGTGGACTAGCTGTGATGGGATAATATACTCGCAATATAAAGCTTGTTTGGGTGCTTGGCGGGCGTTAGGGGTTGTGGGCGCGCTGTAATATAAACAAAACCGAAATATACCTCGCTTCCGGTGTTTCTGTGCATGTGCCTCTCTCATCCATGCCTTTCTCTGTCTGTGCGCAGAAGGCAGCGGTTGGTTGAGTGAGGTGGAGTTTGCGATCTTCCCTGTCCTGAACCATCCAACAAGAACTTGCGTGCTCCTGGTCAGATGACACTCACTTCGCACGTACTCTGCATGGAACATGACCCAACCGTCGCTGCCCCCGGCTTTGATCAGGGCATGCATTGTTAGTAGGAGGTAAGTTTAGGAGCACATTTCCAAGTCTTTCTCTTGTGACCACTGACCAGACGCGTTATTGATATTTGTAGGGAGGACGGCTTCCTCCGGCATGCTAAGTAGACTTACATACGTATGTGTGGTGGAACGTGACCGCATCAATCGTTCCTGTAGGACCGGACTCACATTCACCAGCTAACTGACAAACGACATCAAAGAGATTGATTGGTCGCGTCGCGCGAAACACGGTGTGGTAAACATACTCTCTTCGAAGTAGGTACAGTACGCCTCCAATGTTTTACCATGACATCTTAAGGCTCCTCGATACCATTCAGCTGAGCACGGCGCGATATCTAGCGTAGATACGCTACCGAGCGAGCTTGCACCAGGTAACGGTGAAAAAGAACGACAAGGAAATCGTCTGTCGATCAATCAATGCTGTCTGTCAGCGGTAGCCCCAGCCACCACACTCTTCACGAACTACATACACCATGGCAACGAACAACTGCCCACAAAGAAGGATGCACATGGACTACATGCTGCTGCACTGTAGTTAGCATCGAAGGCGATCCCGATTGCCGTACTCTCTGGTAAATACCACACCATACCCTCAGCCATGCAGACGAAACGATCGGTTCACGATTCGCCGATATATGAACTACAGCGGTAAACGTGTGTGGCGTCTCTGCACGATCACTCCACAGAGCAGTTTGAAATTTTGAAGTTTACTACATTAGATTGCCATTTTACCATAACTTATGATACATGTATGTCTACGAAGGCAGCCACCTAGACAATACTAGTGCTATAATAGTCGGCGTAAAAGATCCAAGCGCCGTGCGTTCGTGGACTCCATGAAATGCCTCCCGCTGCGTCCATTCCCGTCTGTCTGAGAATGGGCCCTTCCTTCTTCGTGTCAAAGCACCGAAAGAGCAACGAGCATGGCGACGGGTACCACAGGAGCCACCAGCCACGTACGTGCGTGCTGGAGCGGCTTTCTCGCGCGCTGCGCCCCAAGTTTTTCTGCCAAGTATGGCGGTTGCCGCATACCGCGGCTCTTCACCCTGCCCATCAGATCAACTCACGGCAGTATCTACTGTAGCAGCACTGGGCGACCGTCTACCCGAACACACGACCATCGCATCTTGGCCACACAACCTTAGCTCGTCGAATAAAGCTTGAAGATGGCGCTCTTCTGGTTACCCGACGGCAGCGCACCGATTATGTCTGGCCCGAGGTTCTGCACTCCGTCAGGACCAAGCGTCTGCATCCACAAGAAACGACCATGTAAGGTTTCCAACCAATGAGGCGAGTCGGCGGCAACGACGAAGGCAAAGGGGGTTGGTTCACTTGAATTAGTTCCAAGCCTCGCAACGAACGAGCTCTGGTGTGTGTGCGGCTAAGGTCAGCTTGCATGTAGGGCGGTCTGTCTAGTCAAGCCCTTTGTGGGGACCGTTGGCGTGAACGACGAGTAAAACAATCAAACGAATCAATGCCTTGAAAAATAATCGTGTATGTGGCCTTGCAAGGTGCCTAATATATGAACAAGATCCACAAACACGGCAAGTGCACGCGGTCGTTCTGAGGACATGACGGTGGGCAAAATATATTTCACAAAAAATTCAAGACAAGACCATAATTTTTTCACCCGGCGGTAAAAGGCTTGCAGGTGACTACTGTGCCTCCAAGACAGAGAAAAATCGTCATACCATGCCACGCCACACCAAACCAGGTGTCAGAGAAGTCCAACGCAAGACACAGCGACGTACAAGTGAGCATCAAAACGAAAGCAACGTGCCGTGTGCCCTGCGCGTGACGCAACATACAGTGTGTTATTTTGCTTTCATCGAGGTCCGCCCAACTATACCAAAAGAACGAAAACACGGGGGATATTTCCATGATATTTCCATGGATTCTTCCCCCTCGGGAGGGTGGCGATGCCCCCAATCTTCCCACGTAGGGACTTGTGTCAACGGCGGCTACATCATCATGCCACCCCCTGTCACTCTCACTCTTCCCGGTTAAGAGAGACAAAAGAAACCATAGGCCGAGCACTTACATTCTTGAGTGTGAACCAGTAGTCCATTGCGGAGATACCGCCCCTGGCGAAGAGCTCTGTCCGTTTGGAGAGCTGATCTACCTTGGAGGAAGAGCCCAAGGCCTCCTCGAGCTTCTGTGCTAAGGCAGGGGAGAAGGTCACGCCCCCCGTCGCCTTCGCAACAGCCGGAGCCGGTTTCGCCTGTGTGCCGATAGATACGATACGATACGATAGATCCATGTGGTGAGAGGGGTAACGAGACATACAAAGAGGCAGAGAGACAAAGTCAGAGACAGAGACAGAGACAGAGACAGAGACACATACACATACACATACACATACACATACACATACACATACACATACACATACACATACACATACACATACACATACACATACACATACACATACACATACACATACACATACACATACACATACACATACACATACACATACACATACACATACACATACACATACACATACACATACACATACACATACACATACACATACACATACACATACACATACACATACACATACACATACACATACACATACACATACACATACACATACACATACACATACACATACAAAGAGAGGAGAGAGTTGTTGGGAACACAACCATGGAAAAGGGACAAGTCCGGGAGTCGCGCAGATGGTCGCATCTCTAAATTTCTGGATGCTTCCTTCAGACACAACATAGCAATCATCTCAATCATCTCAATCGGCACGCTTGTTCAAGAGAACGAATTGCAAGGCAACCAAACGTAAAAGTAAACGATACGTTCGATACGTTCCATACGATCCAGCGATACGATCCACGCCCCATACCCATCAAGAAAAGCCGGCAAACGCAGCGCCACAAAAACGCGGCTAACTAGAGTCCTGCGGTGCCGCCAAGCAAACACATGGCTCAGAAGAAGAAGAGCTCAGACGCAAGACAGAAAGAAACAAACGAGAATTGGACACGCGTTTCCTCCTCGTGAACAAGTGCTTCCTCCTCGACCACACACCCCAGGTGTCCATGTACATGTGCATGTATCACATCACACCAAGAACCGTGTGATGAACACACGCCGCCGAACGAATGAGTGACTGTACCGCATCTTCAACGCCTCCAATATCAGCCGGTGGTATACTGTACTACGCAGAGACACCACAGCATTCGACGGTTGGTGCGAGTTGTTAAACGCTAAATTTACTACACGATGCCATGGTTGGCAAGTACACAAAAAGCCGGAGACGGCCACCACGACGGACATCATCCAAAACACCGCCATCGCATCTAGTCAAAGCAACAACGCTGCTGCAGCTGTACATGTATGGAATAGAAAAAGTATTCCACCACAAGGAAGACAAGATGACGAAGATGCACCTGCGTCACGGGAGCAGCCGCCTTTTGGGGAGGGGCCGCCTTTTTCGGGGCAGCCGCCTTCTTGGGAGAAGCCGCCTTCTTGGGAGCAGCCACCTTCTTAGGCGCCGCCGGCTTGGGCGCTTCCTTCTTCGCCTCCGTCGCTACCGCCTCCTTCTTATCCTTCTTAGCGCCTCCTGCGCCGCCCGCCCCCGAACCGCCGCCGCCGAAGTTGAACATACCTCCGAATGGAGACCCGCCGCCGCTCTTCGCCGCTGCCGGCGCCTTGCTAGCGGTCGCCGCCGCAGGTGCCGCCGCCTTTTTCGGGGCAGCCGCCTTCTTGGGAGCAGCCACCTTCTTAGGCGCCGCCGGCTTGGGCGCTTCCTTCTTCGCCTCCGTCGCTACCGCCTCCTTCTTATCCTTCTTAGCGCCTCCTGCGCCGCCCGCCCCCGAACCGCCGCCGCCGAAGTTGAACATCCCTCCGAATGGAGACCCGCCGCCGCTCTTCGCCGCTGCAGGCGCCTTGCTAGCGGCCGCCGCCGCAGGTGCCGCCGATTTCTTTGGCGGCGTGGCAGGCTTCGCCTTTGGTGCGGCGGCGGACTGTGGGGCGGCAGGCTTGGCAGCCGCCGGGGCGGGTTTCTTGGCGGGCGGCATGGCGGGTTTCTTCAGCATGGCGGGTTTCTTCAGCATGGCAACATTTTTCGCGGTGGGCTTTGCCGGAACCGGCTTCTTCTTCGCAGGCGGTGCGGTCTTCTTCGCGCGCGTGACGGTAGGCATGTTCAGCATGCCGGGCTTAGCGACAGGCCTCGCCGGTGTAGCCTTCTTCGCACCCGCAGCAGGCGGTGCTTTCTTCTTGACGGGGGCGACAGGCTTAGCAGCGGCGGGCTTAGCCCCGGTGGTGGGCTTAGCACCGGTGGCGGGCTTAGCGGCAGCGGGCTTGGCGGGAGCGGACTTCTTGACGGCAGGCGGTGCTGGCTTTTTCTTGGGGAACACGGAAGACAAGGCCCTTCTGAACGAATCGGGGACCGGGCGGCCAAACGGGTCGGGGAGAGGGATGCCTAGTCCTGCCAGAATACCCTGGAAGTTCGTCAGCCCTTCGGTGTCGCCGACTTCGGTATCCATTGGGCAGCCCAGCTGTGTGTGGGGGGGAAGGGTAGAGGGGGTGTGCCGTTTGTTTCTCGTGTTTGTCGCTTGACCGTTCAACATGCAACAAAATGTGGTCCCACGAGCCGAGCTCCGAGACACACGTGTGTTGTGTCGTCATATTGTCGAATCGAATCGATCGGTGTACAGCAGAGACAGATATCACTGCAGCACGCGCTCTCCCTGCGATGGTTAAGAATGAGATGCCCTTGGAATGAGGAACACAGATGGATAGATGGATGTGACATGATTATGTTGGATCAAAATGATCTAGACAAAAGTCAAGAGGACAGCTACGGTACGTCGGAGAACGACAGCTAGGCTACATGGAAGGCACGAACGACTTTAACCGAAGGAAGAGATAGTCGCTGCACCGAGTCGGAGAATGAAATGATGAGCGCTAGGCTGGAAAATACGCGGTACCCTCGATTTGATTCCATCCAACAGGATAAGACAAGATTATTGTTTCTCGTGTTATATGCGGTATGCATAGAGACGTCGCAAGAGCGCCCGATCAGAGGTACGCAGTGTCTCCTATCATAAGTCACAATCATGCAACTTTGCCAGTTTGATGGAAATAACAGCGGGATATGGTATTGATCGAGCAGGCACTTTGGCACATGCTGCCGCAAAATCGGAGAAAACAAGCAGAACCCAAAATAATAACAACAAAAGAAACCGAGTTGAGAGACTGTTCATGAACCTCTCTCACATGCCGCCTTTGCAAATAAACTACCGCTGTCCTTGTTCACCACAACATGTACACCAGACGACCACCTTCACCGCGATACCGACATACGCATCCTCTACACCATGTACATGGCGTTACGGCAGTGTTGAATAGTACATGCCGTATGAAGTACACGTCCTAATTTCTCACCGTAATCTTGGAGGCCAAGCCATCGGCGTCGAAGGTAACGGAAAAGGTCTGAGGGGTGCTCACGAACGACTGTCTCTTCGGCTCAAACTGCCGCACATCACATCACGCCGCGTCAGGTCATGTCACGTCCCCCGACAAAGACAAGCAAGAGGCATGCATAGCTGGGTCAGTTGTTGTATCAGTTGTATCAATTCTGTATCAGTTGGATCAGAAATGCGTAGACACACGACAGAGAGCTGAACCACATGCGTACATACGACTCTGTGAAAAAGTGGACCTGCTTCTTGTGCTAGAGACACCTTCCGAATCACCATCGCCGCAGCAAAATATGATTCTACAGCACGCTCCTCCTCACACGATACGTACACAGCTACAGTTACAGCTACAGTTACAGTTACACACGCACACCGAAGCACGAAGCACGATGCACATAACACCCCCAATACGGACACGAAGCGGCGTTGTGCTGATGACTGCAAAAGCCTGTAAGTGGTGCATGTTACAATAAACCCACCCACAGGAGAACGAGCGATGTTGTATGCTTGCTTTGCCCCCACGTGTGATTTGTGTACTTGACGTCAAAAAGTCAACGGTGCTGTCTGCTATACAATACATAGGTCGCCACGCTACGCCGTTTGTTTCATCTTGTCTCTGGCGTGAAGGAGGAAATACTAGGGGCAAGACAAGAGCCGCACGCACCCCAACACCAACACCAAGACCAACACCAACACCAACATCAAACGCAAGCGAGGAGAGAGGCAAGAGGAGAACAGACAGGGAGCTGGAAAACAAAGACGAGAAATCAAGCTGTTGAACATGCGAAACAGTAACGCGTTTTGTGTGCTGAGACGGCTTCCTTCCTGACCAGACCTTGGTGTCGAAGCACGATATATATATATATATATATGCACGTCAACAATAATCTTCGCAACGAAAGACAGCACACAGCCGCTGCTATGTGTCGACTCGAAAAGCACAACGCGAAATACCTCGCACCGCATACTCGAAAAGCACGACACGATAGTCCTGACCCTTCCCTTACCTTAGTCCCGAAGCACGTCGTAGGCCCTACCACCTTTGTAGTCGGTATCGTAGTGATCCACACCCTTGACGGCTCGAAAGGGTCCACCCTGGCGTCGTGGTAGTTGTCATCCGTGTCCAGCCCCGAGAAGAAATCTACGAGATCTACGGTCGCGCTCTGTACGATCTGTGGCGTGGTACAGTAGGGCGGTGTTGGGATGGCATGGGAAGGAAGGAATTACGGAAGGACGGAAGGGAGGTAAGGCGAGATGGGGCGGGGGGGATGCACGCAAATTGCCACATCGTGCTTGCACAGCTACTGCAGAATGCCTGGGGAAAACCGAAAGCTCAGCTGGGGCACGGCAACACCAACTCCAAAAAACAGCAACAACGCAAGACAAGACCATGAACACCAACAACAGCGCTGCAAAACCATCGTTGGAGCAACCCGACGAATACCGTCGGCGTTGCTAGTCCCAAGCTCGCTGTTTTTATATTCTTATTGCGTTGCTCCTGATGCACTGATGCATGCAGCTTGAGAAGGGAGTCCTGATGCATGCGCGGCCACTAGACACGACAGGTGCACCGTTACTCCAGGCAGCGGCATCTAGATAAACGCTACCGCTACCACCACGAAAGCGACACCGAAACCACCACCAAGAACAACGACCACAACAACGCCAAACAGCAGCTTGGTATGCATGTGCATACAAGCCATCAGGTCATTTTGATGATTCAATGATGAGTGGCATGATGAGTGATTCACCTCCTTCTTCTTGAGGGGGCCGAGGATGGGCGCGTATATCATGCAATCGTCCGCTAGAAGATCGGCCAAGGCGCCGGTGTCGTCCCTCAATGCCGTCAGTACCTGCCATCGCGCCATCCAATCACATCAGTCGGCGGGTACAGCAGTTATCATAGCGTTGGCTATTGTTACACCATCATACCAACATTAAAGACGTTTCCTCCTGCATCCGCGTAGATTCTTGGTGTCGTAGCCAAAGGGCAGTGAGATGAACAAAGACAACCACGGCAGAGCGAGATTGTGCAGCAGCCTTAAGCTAACAACAGTGGCCCAACTGTTTGAGGCCTTTTCGGGGCGTCGAATTGGCGTGTATTCATACAGTACGATTGCCGCGCCACTGCGTCGTCCTTGTCCTCCCGAAGAACTATTTACCCCCTTTTCCTTAGGGGGTATGCAGACTTCGTAACACCAACACCAACACCAAGCCATCGCAGCAGAGAGAAGTACGGTAGGGGGGGGGGGGGGGGGGC